TTTCAAGCATTGTGAGAACAATATTACATTTTGCATTGTTTCATCGAATACCGCAGTAAGTAACTTAATCATTAAGTCATTCTATACCTAACTGCTATCTCATAAGATTGGATTACGTACATGAATTAATCCCCTAGCTGCATTCGAAAGAGTAATTAGGTCTGAACCACTAACAAAGTGAGCAATAAGGTAACTAAAAACAAATGACACTGAAGCGCCTTGTATTGTTTCGGGAAACAATCTTAAGACTTTGATAGGCAGTAAGGGCCTAAGAGATCCTTTGGTTAACTTCTGATAACTATTACGGTATACAGTGTAATGGGTGATGACTGTCAGTAATAGAACAGATAACTGTGACACAAATTACTTCAAATTTATATATCACTTCCAACTGAAGTTATATGAGAGCCTTATAACACAATTGTTACAGACACTATTCGCATTTCTATGAAACACGATCACGAGTAGGTTTTAAAAGTGTCTGCTGAAGCATGTGCTTAAGCATGATATTTAATCATTTTCTAGATGTAATAGGAAACAGATTTCTATGACTTAGAATTTTAACTACCTGATTATAAAATAGTGAAAAGTAAACTAAATAAGATTTCAATTGCTTTACTTAGACGACAATCAAAACTGATGAAGTGAAAAAATATGAATAATTTGATTGGACTGAGGAAAATTTTCTTCGGTGGTGACCTAAACTACGGTCTGTGAAGTTATGAAATAATCAACTACTATTGGAAATCGTCTTGTGAGCTATTCTTTCATTCTCATGTGGAATGTGTACAACTAAAAAACTTAACGACAAAACAGTTGGACCTCACTTTTTAAACTCTGAATAACACCATAAGAACTACTCAAACATGATTACGAAGACTCTTATATTACAGAAATAAAGGTTTACAATCATAGCGAAATACTCATGCGCCTTTTATGAAGATTCTTTAATAGTTCTTACTACGTCATGATAAACTAATTTTAAACCAATTCGAACAATGCAACTGCATCTCACTGTCGGCGACCTTATTGACCTGTGCAAAGCTCTATGTTCTTATGTTTATAACAGTATTCTTTAGGCCTCAACAGTTATCAGAATATTTCAAATAATAACATGAGATTGAATGTATCCTGACCATTAGTAGATGGGGAGCTGGTTTTGAAAACTTTGGGGGCCGAGTAAGTATGATTCACCTATGAGTTGCATTTTACTTGTGTAGTCCTGGCGTAGTAAACTGTAGATAATATGCTATGTCGGGACTACACAAGTAAAATACACCTCACAGGATGAACAACATAAGATAGTGGGTGGCCCGTTTACGCACTCTACCACTTGCCTATGTTTTGTAAGTTATATAAACCTCCTTGTATGCCCATAGGTTATGATTCGTTTTATGAAACATTATCCACCTGTGTATACTTCAGCTTCTAAACAGTATGCAGGTGGTCTAGCTGAGCGATTGGTGAATAATTATACAAAATCCAAGCCGATTGCAGCTAGCTGAATGTGGCGGTTTGACTCGAATATCTCAATGTCTAACACAATATGCTGGTAGTATACTAGTTCCCTTCAAGCTCTACCACACCGACATGGTAAATTGGATAGAGGCAAGAAAAGCAGTTACCGTTATAATGCAGTATAGCGCACAATGAAGGCGAAGTTGTACTGCTGTCTGGACAGGAATGGTACGGTACAAAGGTGATTCCTGAAGACAACCAGAAGTGCCATGCTAATGTGGCTTCCCTTTGGGAAGGGATCTTTTAGAAAATGAAGCAGTACACCCCCATATTTCACGATCTTATGAAGCCAGTATTATGAGCTTATGGCTTGATTTCAGACAAACAAACAAAAGTCTAAATCTTTATTAAAGGTGGCGTGTGTCGGACCTCAAGCAGATGTCTCATGTCACACAACTGTTACTCATTCGCCTTCTTTTTCAGTTACCTCAAAAAGAACTAGACTTTTGTGGTGTAGGCAGTTGGGAAGTGACAACCAGTCACATAATTCTATCAGTACTCAAGCTTCCCAAGATTATTATCAACCTTCTGTATCCTTAAATTTTACTAATTCTTCAAATCTCTCGATCAGTATTCTTACATGATTCTGTATTTTTACAACTCTTCATCTTCAGATAACAATTTGAGTTCACAGAACACTATATCTGGTATCCCAAAACCATGCTTCAAATGATACACTTGAGCTTTCAGTGTCCCCACCCTCCATCAAATCGCATAACCAGCTTCGCCAGCCAGAACTCTAGTATTTAAAGCTATGGTTGTGCGCTGAACTTGCGACATGCGTTTATAGGACACAATTGTGACTTTTTCACACATTCTAATACTCCATTGTAGTAAATCTGCATAATTCAATATCAAAATTCCCTTACCCTCCATCGCTCGTCACACCACTCTTGTATCTACTAAGGCGGAAAGTACACGAACGGAAGGTACCCCAGTACACCACCGCATGTGAACAGCTGGATCGAAGAGTGAAGTAAGGACTAAAATAAACAGCGAAAGATCTGTAGTCTCCGCTAGCTCACTTAGTGACTGCAGTTCCAAGGAAGTAAAGCATGAGTTCTACCAGATACTCTTTAGCTAAGTATCAAAACATATTTGTCGTTGCAGATGTCATCACTGAGACAAAAACAACGCTGAATCAGGTGAACATGCACCTCGGAGCACCTTTGTAATGAAAAACTGAAGAAAGAAATGATGACTGTCATCTCCTAAAGCGTTCATGAACAACAAAATATACCAGCCAAGTGGTGACCTCTAACACGCACACAGACTGAATGAAATCAGGGACATCAAAATCAATCAAGGCTTAAATCACATCGCCTACGAAATAATCGGTCACACATAAAACGAAGAGTGATATATTGCCACCGCAATTGAAGAACGCGCTTCAACAGCCACTAAGTGCCGTTTGCAGCGCTGACTTTCACACCTAAAATGATGTGGGATAACTTCGGCAACAAGGACATTAAAAGCACCGCACTGCCATGAGAATGTTAAGGCTGTTTTCAGCAAGAAACTGGCTAAATAGTTATCAGAATCAGTGCGAAACGACATCATTCATCAAGAAGAAGACTCGTGATATCCCCAGTCTGCTGCAAAAGCAAAGTTGAAAAAAGAGACGAACTCTCGGGAAGTGGTTAGAAAGAACCAGGGGATCTCAGCAGCTTCTCCTGGATTAGTGGATCCACGCGAGCCCATTCCCACAGATCCCGAACACAATAAGAAGGCAAGCAATTCAAATGCATGCTTACAGGGAGTCTGCGCAGTGACTGTCAGTAGCGGGGTAGTCAATGCTAAGGAGATGGAGAAGGCACTAGCAATAGGTGATAGTAGACAGTTATTTAGACTTATCAAGGAAACTGGGGCAAGAGTCAGTGGTCATTGATACTAGAATAGAGAAGAATGAGTCCACGATGTGCTCACAAAAGAGACAGTTGGAAAGATGGGCAAAACAGTTCGAGGAATAGTTTGGCTAGCCTCCAGCTTTTATTCCTCTGTCCGTTATCCAGTCGGATCCTCAATGAAGCATGTGTATACGGCCTCCAATTATTCCAAAGTTGAAACAGCTCTAGAAAAACTGAAATGACGAACAGCAACTTGCCTATTTCGGTTAGCACTAAAGATATTTGAAGGTAGTTGTCGTGACTTATTAGTCAGGTTAACTGGAGTGTTGGCTGGAGTATGGCAATTAGATATGATTCCTTCTGACCACTCTCAATCCCCAATGGTCCCCATCTATAAGAAAGGAGAGTTCTCTTGCGATAGCCATAGGGGATTTAGATTGATGAATGTAGTGTCTAAGATTTAAGCTTCTCTAATATCAGACGTCTGAGTAGAGTTCAATAGCAATAAAGCTGGGAAAACCAAGCAGGCGTCGGACGTCACTGTGGGTGTATCGACTAGGTATTCACCCTCCTCCAGGTTTCCTGGAGAAGATTCAAGGCGGTGGAATAAAAACAAGGAACTGGTCTATGAAGTTTTTGGTTCTTTTTTAGTATCATACACTAAAATAAAGATCTACCAAATGAGAACTGCGGGAAAGAAGTAATCGGTGCCGGGGCACTTTGGGTCATGTGGCTCAGAATTGGTCCGAAAGGCACAGGTGTGTCAAGGCATTGCCTTCAATCTAATCGTCAAAGTGGATCCTAATACTGCCTCACTCCTCCTTGAGCTGCTGTTATAAATTTCCCTCAAATTCTCATTACATTTCTGACTGCTTCTTCATCGTTCAACTTGCCTTAAGGCACATCAGGTTGGAATGTGAACCAGACCGAAAAAATCAACCGCTGTCACACCACTGTTACCTCTTCACCGCTTTTCTTCCTACTGTGATCATTTAAGCGCTTTTCATCTCTTTAAATCACTAAGAATTAGCCTCACCTACGTGAGCTCTTCATATCCTTTCATCCCTCCCGTCTTACTTGGGTGTAAGTAGATTACTTCATCAGTCCACTTCTCTTTATCTCTTACTCGCAGACATTTGTCTTCCCGAGTTATCTCTTCACCATCCCTAACTTTGTCTAACGAACAGTCCGAAAAACTGTCTGGCAACTCGACAACTGAAGAAACCAACTGCACCACAGTCCAAGGCAGAATAACTAACACTCAACCTCCTGTTTTGAATACCAGAGCTATAGCAGATGAGTGGCCGGATCTACTGCACCAGAATCCACCAAAGACTTGTAACTGTTCTGCAGAAAAACAAGAAGCGACCACGAAGAAATCAACTAGTTTACACAAGCTCGTTAATCAAATATTAGATATTAGAAGAAAAAAACATGCGGCTAAACTATGAATTCATAACCTTTCAGCTTTATAACTGCCTGGTTCATTTCAAAAAAATTATCAAGCCGAATGTGCAAAATAAGTGCAGGAACATTCTGGGAAGAAAAAGGCTACGTTAGTATGACGCACTACAATGTATCGATCCAGGCCAAAGGAAATAAATGTGGAACCTTTACTTAGCTGTGAAAGCTTACCATCGCTCACCAATTCTTCTGCGATGCTCTGGTCCTGAGATTTGCTGCTGAAAGGATTCGTATTAGCCAAAGTCGACGATACTGTTCGTAATTTTGATGTTATATTTGACAGACGCATTGTTGATTTCGTCCCATCATACAGAGACTTTGACCTAAGAAAATGTTTCTTGAGTTCAAAATTTAGAACCTGTGTAAAAATGCCTGAGCACTATTCAGATTGGCTTTCTCTCGTAAACTCATTTTAACTCACATTTTCAAATGCTTTGAAACATGCGGTCATACACCTAGCAACAATGACCTTAAGCACGAATAATTTAAAAAAAGTGGTAGGTTTAAAAGCAAAAGTAGGCAATTGTTTATTCTTTATCACTCTAGACACGCTTCATGGCTGCGAAGATTTGGTTTTTTATTAGGGATACTTCATATGCTATAGTATGGCTTCACAACCAAGCGCACTACTGCAAGGTACTTCAGTATGGCAGAAGAACAGAAAACTAGTATGAATTGACCTCATAGAAGACCAAGTAACAGAAGAAGGTGCATCCAGTCAAGATGCGACCCGTCGGTACAAGATATTCAGCGTCCATTTAATCAAAAACACAGTGACACGGTTCCGCTTCAATATTGGAATAAGCTCTTTCTTTTCGAAAAGATAAATATCACTGTGACATAGCATCGTATACTAGATGAAGTTTTGGACACAATTCCACGATCACCTCTTCTTTCCAAACGTTGCATGGTACACATAATAAAACCATTGCATTTTACAGTGGTGATTAGGTTAACTCAAAAACTTGTTGAGATGCATGATTGTTTTCTCCCACCCCACTCTTTACTCTTATGCAAAAAGCGAAAGGTTCTGAGAGTATTTTTGTGGGTAACTAAAACGGTGACCGCAACTTAAGTGTAAATAATGAACGCAATAATGCAAGTAACTAGGTAAAAATTTGGGAAGGTGAGGGACTGTGATAGTGGAAAGAAAGTAACGGAGTGAAGGTTCACAAACATCAGAAAAAGGTTAGAGGCTATCAGTGGAGTGCCTAATGTGGGGGATTTCGCAAAGAGTGTTGCCACCAGGCACGTGGAGTTGATGAACAGGCCCAATAATTGTTTGTTTGATGAATAGGGTCTGAGAAATTGGATAGGACGGAAAGACGCCGCAGGCGGCGAACTGCAAATGATATCCCAGTAAGTTCTGCTTTCATAGCTATTACGGTGCTTGGAGAATCGCGTTGCTTGTTTAGTGCCTTATAAACATGGACAAACTAAAATAAGCTGACCAAATGGTCCCAGCAACAGTCCGAAAGTGAGTTGCTGCACTGGTTCAGTAATGCAAACCGGTCAACAAGTTAAATTTCAGTTTACGGTGAACGTGCAAACATTGCTTCCAGTAAGAAAGTTACGTAGTGTTGTGGCTTTTTTTTCTCTAGAACCTGAACAAGATGGAAATTATTGCATCTATGTTAGCTACGCCTATCCGAGTACTGCAGTCATTCTACGAGGATGCGTCTTTTACAACGCTTCCTAATTACATATGACCATACTCAGAACATTCCATCGAAGCACCTAGTCCTTGGTTTGTAGAAGAAACAGGTATTCAGAAGCGAGTGCAAGCGGATGGCCCCGATCTATAGGCAGAGGTTCTCGTTTGCCCCATGAAAAAGGACTCAGGGCTTTCAGCCCTTCTCTATCATCTAACCGTAAGGGAAGAGTTGATATTATGTTAGTGTATAGCATTTTGAAACACAGTTTGTTACAGAATGTTTAATATTGTCTTAGTCCTCCTACGGCTGACCACCTAGGGAATTGTAAAGAGTTTCCCAAGCCTCAGTTTAACTGACCACGAGTGGGATCAACAGTTTCTCACAAAGTTATCGACGACCAGCACGCTTTATCGGAACTACTGAAGCAGCTACCAATTTCGACATCATTCATCAAGAAGAAGACTCGTGATATCCCCAGTCTGCTGCAAAAGCAAAGTTGAAAAAAGAGACGAACTCACGGGAAGTGGTTAGCAAGGAACCAGGGGATCTCAGCAGCTTCTCCTGGATTAGTGGATCCACGCGAGCCCATTCCCACAGATCCCGAACACAATAAGGAGGCAAGCAATTCAAATGCATGCTTACAGGGAGTCTGCGCAGTGACTGTCAGTAGCGGGGTAGTCAATGCTAAGGAGATGGAGAAGGCACTAGCAATAGGTGATAGTAGACAGTTATTTAGACTTATCAACGAAACTGGGGCAAGAGTCAGTGGTCATTGATACTAGAATAGAGAGGAATGTGCCTGTAAAGGAAAAATGATCTGAAAATCCCTCCCGATCACCCTTATTTGATTGTATTGACATTTATTTTAACATTTTTACCCTCGTTATGGATGGTGTACCTTTGACCCTCGCCGGTGTAATGTTATTTGCTTGTTTAACTGTCTTATTTGACTTTACACTCGGTATTTGCCTTTGTATGTTTGAGACTTATTATGAGTGTTTCACTTTCCTATTATGTGACGCTGGACTGTTGATAAGGTGATGTTGTTTTACTGCGCACGACATTTTGTTTTGGTTCAACTTACGGTTGTGCAGTGATTTGACTGTTTGTCTTTTGACTGTCTACTGGGAACGTTTGTTTGTTGATTTGATTCCTGTAGGCAGAGTTTTGATCCCTTTTGCCGGGAATATTCCTATTGACCGACAGGTATTTAACAGTTGTATTTTTTAACCAGTTTTTACCGTGTAGTACGTATTTGTACCCGAGAACGTTTTGGACTGTATAGTTACCCAACGGCACTGTTGAGGTATTTTTGTAATTTGACATAACTTATTGTTGCTTTGATAGTACCACAGATTTTGTTACGAATCTACTATTGAATTACTACAAACCGTGTTTTGATATTTCGATCCAACCTTTGACTGTGCGTCACTCGCGGAAGTTAGGAAGCTATACAGTAGAACGCAGGAACTAGTCAGATTCACGTCAGTTGGCACCGCCTAGCTATTTCCCGCGTTCAGGCCAAGATTATTGGATTCTGGCCGCTACAGTACTCAACAACCCGTCACTGCTGTACCTGGCAATCGCAAGGTGTTCCTTGAGTCAATTCCGGACGGGGAAGGTGACATGTCCATGGATCCGACCTCAGATACCAAGCAAGTCCCTCTTGATGTTATTTCATGCCGTGGCTCTGATAATGGTACAGTTATTGACTATAGTAAGACTAGTCCTTGTAGGACCTCTGCTCAGTTGAAGGTACGACAGTTGGATGAAAGGCAAGAGTTGGAACTTCGTGAATTCAAGGCTAAACAAAGACAGGAAAGGTTGCGTCTGCATAAAGAACTCAACTTAGATGTGAATGGGGGTTTAGGTGATACCTTTTCCTTGGATGATGATATAAAGTGTCACAAATCAGTTTGTCTTGGCATTGACCCTCATAGCAGTTCTGATCGTGAAACGACTAGCCAGGCGAGCAGCGCAGAAAACAAAGGGGTTGCCGCTACGTTGCCTTGTGTCAGTGTTGGCCATGAGTTACCGAAAGTAGAATTAAGCAGCTTTGACGGACATCCAGCCAAATATTGGAAGTTTATGAGGCAGTTTGAGCTCTACGTTGTCTCTAAGGTTGATGATGATGGACAGAGGCTGTTATACTTGTTACATTACTGTAAAGGTAAGGCCAGGGAGGCTATAGAGGAATGCATTATGTTACCACCATCTGCTGGTTATCGTAGGGCTCGGGATATACTCAACGTTTGTTTGGAAGGACTCATGAAGTCAGCCGGGCCTTACTACAGGATCTGATGGAATGCTCGAACATAGAACAAAACGATGCTGAGGCAATGTCGAGGTTAGCTATAAAAATGGAAAACTGCGCTATAGCCCTAGAGCAAATGGACTATACTGCGGACCTTAACTCCTTGAGAACTTTAGAAGGTATAGTAAAGAAATTGCCCCGTGTGTTACAGATGAAATGGGCGGAGACTGTCGAAAAGCTAACTGAAACCGAACGAGAACCTACCTTCGCAGAGTTAACGCAGTTTGTGTCAGCACGTGCGAGCATTTTGCTAAGTAGGTTTGGACAGCTGGCAACAAGCAGTCGACGACCAGATAGTAAAATAGCATGTTCCACGCAGCAGCTAGTACCCGTTGGGGGAGTCCTGAAACCTTCATGTATATTTTGTGGAGGGAACCATGTAGTCACAAAATGTACCACATTTCTGTCGTTACCGGTGGATGAGAGATGGTCGAAGGCTAAAGAAACAGGTTGTTGTTTTTCATGTCTTAAAAGGGGCCACAGGTCCGTAGAATGTAAAATTCACAGGGTGTGCAGTGTAGAAGGTTGTAAAGCATACCATCACCCTCTGTTACACAAGAAGACCCACCACGCCGTAGGCGAACAACCGGAGAAAGGTAGTTGTGGATGCACTGAGTCTCTCAGAGAAAGCGTGTGTTTGGGCCTACTCCCGGTACGTGTAAAGCACGGTAATAAAGAGGTTTACGGTTATGCTATCTTGGACAATGGCTCTGATACAACTTTGATCACGAAAAATGTTTTGCAACTTCTAGGATTGTCGACTGACGGCACAAAGACTATCATCAAAACTGTTAGTGGAAGTAGATTGGCGGACTCAGTCAGCAAGCCTTTCGAAGTTTATTCACTAGACGGAAACGAATGCATACTTATAGATCGAGCAGTTGTGGCAAGAGATCTCCCAGTACGGAGACCTAAAGGGTCGATGCGAGAAAGTATTAAAAGGTGGCCGCATCTGACTGACGTACCCTGGACAGAGGTGGAAGACGGGGAGGTATTGCTGCTCATCGGTTGCGATGTACCTGAGGCTCACTGGGTTCTAGATCAGAAGTTAGGGGGCAGAAAGAGCCCATATGCTGTGAGATCATTGTTGGGCTGGGTCGTGTTCGGTCCGACAAGCTTTCGTGAGCACAGGGAGAGGGTTGTGAATTGTACGTCTCGGTCAGATCTATTAGTCGATCAATGGAAGAAAATTTACGATTATGAGTTCAGCGATTTGTACTCGGGAGATAAGTCGTTATCTGTCGATGACCTAGCCGCTGTAAACATAGTGCAGCGAGGTACTTATTGGGATAATGGACATTTCGTTGTCCCCTTGCCCTGGAAAATGGAGTCCAAGAGAGTATACGGTGGATGCGAAGTAGCCAGGCGACGTTTGGAGAGTTTGAAACGCAGACTAATATCCTCTGAAAGCCTTCGCGAAAGCTACACTAGCGCCATGGAAGAGACCATCAGAAAGGGATATGCAGCAGTAGCTCCTGAGCCCCAGCTTGATCCTAGCTACCGCCCACGATGGTATTTGCCGCATCATGCCGTATTTAACCCCAAGAAACCGGGGAAGGTAAGAGTTGTGCTGGACTGCGCTGCCAAACTGTCCGGAACTTCTTTAAATGACTTCCTGTATCAGGGACCAGACACGACAGCGAACTTGGTTGGAATATTATTGCGTTTTCGCAAAGAACTGATTGCCCTGACGTCCGATGTGGAAGAAATGTTTATGCAGGTGAAAGTCCCAGAGTTTGACCGAGGTGCTCTGCGGTTCCTATGGTGGCCTCAGGGTGATTTCTCGAAGGAACCTATTGAATATCAAATGACGTCACACCCATTCGGTGCAGTGTCCTCACCGTTTTGTGCGTATTTTGCAATGGCCAAGACTGCCGAGACGTATGCCAACGATTATGATAGTTATGTGGTGGAAGCAGTGAAGCATAACTTTTATGTTGATGATTGCCTAGTGTCCTTTGCAAGCCCAGGTGAGGCAAAAACGTTCGTAAAACAGTCCACTGAGTTGTTGTTACGTGGTGGCTTTAAATTGAAGAAGTGGGTGACTAATTCAGAGGCAGTGAGAGTAGTTCTTCCTGGTCTGAGCCACACAGAGAACTCAGTCGACTTACGTGTTAGTCAAGGCTCAATCCACAGGGCCCTAGGTTTGGAATGGGACACCATGCATGATGTTTTTAAGTTCCGATTTGAACCCGTCGAAAAACCCTTCACGAAGAGAGGACTACTATCCACCGTCTCAGCTCTTTTTGACCCACTAGGCCTCATCGCCCCAGTTTGTCTTCCGGCCAAGCAGCTATTGCAGAATCTTTGCAAATCTCATGCTGGTTGGGATACACCCCTGAGTTCCAATGACCTATCCCTATGGATGGATTGGATGAGGTTCATGAAGAATCTTGGGCAAATCTCCGTACCCAGAAGTATCAAGAAGGAGGATAAGAGTGAGATGAGTAAGATTGAGTTGCACTTATTTTGCGATGCCTCTGAATCTGGTTATGGAGCGGTGGCTTATTCGTGGAACGTTCCAAAAAACACGCCACCCTACAGCATACTGCTTTATAGCAAATCCCGGGTTGCCCCTCTGAAAACGGTGACAGTGCCGAGATTAGAGTTAGCTGCGGCAGTATTGAGTGTACGAATGAGTGAAATTTTGAGGAAGAACCTCCCAAATAGCTTTGACAAGACTTATTTTTGGACAGATTCTATGATTGTTTTGTACTATATTAGAAATACAGAGAGTCGGTATAGTACGTTTGTGGCCAACCGTCTAGCCATTATTCACCAGTATTCATCCCCAAATCAGTGGGGGTACGTTAAATCTGAAGAGAATCCCGCAGATTGGACATCAAGAGGCATACGAAAAGCGTGTGAATTAGCGTCTTGGATTCAGGGCCCCTCTTTTCTGGGAACCCGACAGTTTTCAAGTACCACAGACCTCTGCTGGAAGGAACCACCGAAAAATGTCGAATTGAAGAGGTCGGTCCGAACAAACACAAACGTTACTGAGCTCACTGCTGATCCGATTTTGGCGTATCATTCGGACTGGGTGAGGCTGATTAAAGCTGTGGCATGGCTTAAGAGATATGTGGTCTACATATCCGTTATGTATTCGCGTCGCCAAGGTGTGTCACTGAATGTTGGCTATCTAACAGCCGATGAACTGGAAGCTGCTAGACATAAAGTATTATGTATGGTACAACAGGAGGTATATGGAGAATTAATAAAGGAACTCCGAGAAAAGGGTAGTTGTGAGACTGAAGAAGGTGAATTGCAAAGGTTGTCACCTATACTTGTGGATGGATTGGTCTGCGTCGGTGGGAGGTTGAACTATTCCGACTACCCACTTACTTTTAAGCATCCGGTTATCCTCCCCAGACATCACTTCGTGACTGAGCTGATCATAAGGCATTATCATATTATAGAAGGACATACTGGTACTTCGCAAGTCCTGGCCACTCTACGAAGAAACTATTGGATAATTAAGGGGATCAGTGCGGTCAAACGGGTGATAAGAAAGTGCATAGAGTGCCGACGATTGAAAGCTGCACTGGGTCAGCAGATGATGGCCCCTTTACCGGTCTGTCGCGTGCAGAAAGGATGGTTTTGCTTCTCATCAGTGGGAATTGATTATTTTGGACCACTCATGGTTCGCCAGGGAAGGAGAGAGGAAAAGAGGTACGGGTGTGTGTTTACTTGTCTCCAGACGCGAGCCATACATTTAGAGGTAGCTTTCAACCTAGGCACCGACGCCTTTATAATGGCTGTAATGAGGTTCATAGGAAGAAGAGGAACACCTGCAGAGATATACAGTGATAATGGTTCCAACTTTGTTGGAGCGATTTCGGAACTAAGACAACTGGTGAGTGTGTGGGATAGACGACGAATCAATGATGCCATGGTGTCAAAGGGGATACGATGGAGTTTCAACCCCCCGCAAGCGAGTCATCGAGGTGGGATATGGGAAAGGATGATACGTTCTGTACGCAGGTTATTGATGGTCATATCCAAAGAGCAGACTCTGCATGATGATACATTAGCCACCTACTTCGTGGAAATAGAAAGAATTTTGAACAATCGTCCTATTGTTCCCATGACGACCGACCCAAAAGACGAGTTAGCTCTCACTCCCAATAGCTTATTGTTATTGAGAGATAGTGGAGGAATAGTCGTGGAGGGCACTATTGCCGATAATTACGTCAGACGTTGGAAACAAGTTAATTACTTAGCTGACGTATTTTGGCGCCGATGGATGAAAGAGTATCTACCATGCTTGCAAACTCGTCAGAAGTGGTTGGGAAGGAAAAGAAATTTCAAGGAGGGAGATGTGGTGATTGTGGCCTCTGAAAAAACACCACGTGGTTCCTGGCCTTTGGGAGTGATCGAAACATGCGAGAAGGACGAAGACGATTTAGTAAGAACTGTGATGGTGCGTATGAAGGAAGGTACCGTGAGAAGAGATATAAGAAAGCTTTGTCTTCTTGAGGGAGTAGAAGAAAGATAGAGTATGCAGACAGCTAGGTAGATAGAGCCACGGCTGAATACACAGAGGTGTTTTGCGTGTCTGGAGGGATTTTGGTGGCCGGTGTAAAGGAAAAATGATCTGAAAATCCCTCCCGATCACCCTTATTTGATTGTATTGACATTTATTTTAACATTTTTACCCTCGTTATGGATGGTGTACCTTTGACCCTCGCCGGTGTAATGTTATTTGCTTGTTTAACTGTCTTATTTGACTTTACACTCGGTATTTGCCTTTGTATGTTTGAGACTTATTATGAGTGTTTCACTTTCCTATTATGTGACGCTGGACTGTTGATAAGGTGATGTTGTTTTACTGCGCACGACATTTTGTTTTGGTTCAACTTACGGTTGTGCAGTGATTTGACTGTTTGTCTTTTGACTGTCTACTGGGAACGTTTGTTTGTTGATTTGATTCCTGTAGGCAGAGTTTTGATCCCTTTTGCCGGGAATATTCCTATTGACCGACAGGTATTTAACAGTTGTATTTTTTAACCAGTTTTTACCGTGTAGTACGTATTTGTACCCGAGAACGTTTTGGACTGTATAGTTACCCAACGGCACTGTTGAGGTATTTTTGTAATTTGACATAACTTATTGTTGCTTTGATAGTACCACAGATTTTGTTACGAATCTACTATTGAATTACTACAAACCGTGTTTTGATATTTCGATCCAACCTTTGACTGTGCGTCACTCGCGGAAGTTAGGAAGCTATACAGTAGAACGCAGGAACTAGTCAGATTCACGTCAGTTGGCACCGCCTAGCTATTTCCCGCGTTCAGGCCAAGATTATTGGATTCTGGCCGCTACAGTGCCCACGGATTCGGCTTTTCCGGCTGTACCTGGAATGTGCAGGAAATGAAAACATGGCTGAGGTTTATTTCTGATGATTTTGGGATGATATGCAGGATGATCATTTGATTTTTTTTGAGAACTTTCAGAGCCTGGATTCGCGTTTTCGTCCTACATATATTCACCATTATGACGCCATGCAGATTTTGCCCAGAAATCTTGACGAAACTCTCTCATGTTGCTTGGTCGACGTACTTTATTAACTTCAGAGCTGAGAATTTTCTGTATGCTTGTGTCGGCACATATGTGATGTTCGTAAGTTTCCGAGTATTGGGGGTACCTTTCAAACTCCAGCGTTGTATAGTCGCACTTTCGCTTGAATGAATCAATCGGACCAACGGAAGGCCTTCTTGAATCAATAGGACCTTGCTGTAAGTACGTGTTTGACTTTCCCAGCCTACTGCAAGTTCATTTATTTCCTAGGTTCTCATGATGATGAATTCTTGGCCCGTTTAACGTTCTTTGTTTCTGTTTCTTGTAGTTTGGTACTATGAACTCAGTAAAACTTCGACCGGCAGGGTGTAACTTCATCCAAGGTCCGTCTTCATAATATTTTATTATCCGTTTAATCTGGGTCTACAATTAGAATGGAAGTATTTTTCTACAACGATGAAACAACAAGGCGGCAGTTTGAAAAAGAAGGGATAATTCCACCAAGCAGTTTGCTTCCCGTGCATGTGTTTCTGCCTTCTAATGCTTCTTGGCTATGGCGTTAGTTGTATTTTCTTTGTTTGTTAAACACTTAAGAGGATAAATTTCATGCCTTTACATAGTTGAAGACTTTTTCCCGCTTTTGCTGTATCGTATAGGGCGAAATGTGCTGCCATTATGAAGTGAGAATATATGTTCAAGTCCCCTCAACGTTAAGTATGAAAGGCAACAGGAGATGTGGTACATGTCTCATTAGGACCTAAGGGAGTCCAATACACTTGGTGCCATGGAGGATAACGGCTGAGTACTCACCAGTATAGAGAAACTACAAGCGAAATTAGAATTCCCCTAGTAACTAAGATAAGAAACTTATTTGGGGGCCTTAACCGCAACAGGAAGTCTGTTCGAAAACTGGGAAAACTCAAACGGGATGAAGTTTGCACGGAAGAGGGACCTAATAGGCTTCAGTGTCACACTGTAGATGTGCTTGCACAGATCATGCTAACTGACGTGTTCTAACTAGAACTCATTACTGAAAGCGGGGTTTAATTTGTGCAACAGATCGCAAAAAAGCTTCAGGCTGATTTCGGGTTGCCTCATTAGCAGTCGCTGCAGATTTAGTGTGGAAGTAAAACCTGGGTACCGTGGTCGATCGTATTACCGTTTTAATCCGTTTATTAGAAATGTCACACAGTGAAAGGGTATCATTTACTGGATAACGTATCTGACACAATTTATTGTCCACATCCGTGTCGGGTGACTCCACAACTTCGAGGCAGAGTCTATACATTCCTAATTTTCCCCCCTTCTCTGTGAATACAAGGGTAGTAGAATTTTCCGTATAAATGGGACAGGTGCAGAATCGTTTTGATTGCGCGCATTTGGTGTTGCTTCGATCATCGATTCGGTTACCAACCTCTTCCTCCACCCAACCGAGATAGTTTTTAACACCATCATCCTATCCCACTCTATTGTGTGATTGTGTGTACTCGTGTGCAGAGCTATAACTGAGTCTTTCGCTAAATTTCCTATCTTATTAGGGTTTACTAATCTTGATTTGGCTGAGTTTTTGTGCCCTGCTATTCTAATCAACCCTGGTTAACCACTTGGAACTATTCATTTGACCGCGCAGTCATTGCAAGGAATTTGGTAAACCAGATTACCTTTCATTTCGCCTGCAAAGCTTGTTTCTAAGCCACTTTGCTGGTTTAGATGCCAATTTAGTCCCAGCCTTATTGAGAGTTATTCGTAATGCTTCTGAGATGAATTCTTTGTACGGTAACACAGCAGGTTCTTTGAATTCCCTCAGCCTTGCCACCAACATTACTATCAGCGGTAGAACTATTATTAGTGACAGCTGTATTACCACTACTACCACTGCTAATATTTTTCTTTCGATTTCTTACAAATTTATTCACAAATTTTGGTCGGTAATTATTGAAACACCAGGTATTCTTGGCGTGTATAATTTCTTGTTGCGGATTTTCATTCTACTAGTGAGCTTTTCTACACCATCGCTTAGGCTTTAACTAAGCCTATTCTAACTGAATTGGGGTTAGAGAATTAGAAGTCTAAGGGGTGATTCGAATGAGTGGGTTTCCCATAGACAGTGATCTCTAAACTTCAGTCTCGTGTTCGTTTAATCATGTAGTCTTGCAATTGTCCTAGATTTAGAGTGGTACGTTTAGGATTGTAGTCCTTCCTGTACCCATATCCCAGTAGGCTAGGTGCTAAATATCTTTGAGCATCCTTTATTTCTATCTTGTCGTTGAAGTGTGTACCATTCAAAGGAAGTGGACGGCACTGTAGTAAAGTACTTGTGCAAGCTTCATAAAGCAGTAACTTAGCACCTCTGAAGTAGAAGTCAAAGACTATGCGCCGCAATGGGCTTCTAGATTTCTGTGTCTGTGACCCAACCTGTCCGGAAAATGTAAGTTGACCTGAGTACCTCGGCCCAAAGTCACGGGCACCTTTAGGAACAAGTATTTTCATAGACTGTAGATGTAGTTGGACGTCTTTCAGGAGCTCGTCAAAACACATCCAGTTGATTCTGCTTGTAGTGAACTGAATTCTTCGAACATCGGACCACTTGGATGCTATACCAGGCTCAATTTGTGTTCTTTCTCGCAACCAGGATTGATCAGCGTGACTGAACGTGCATGCGACTTTGAGATCATCATCGAACAGAAATGGTTCGCTGCGTCAAGCAGCCACAAATGTCATTGACGTATAGGTTAAAGAGAAAGGAAGCTGATGCGCTGCCTCGAAAAGCGCCAGGGGGAATCAGCATAAGTTTCGAAACCTGTGAGTCTAATTTTGCTACATGGGTGCGATTAGTGGGGAAAGATTTAATCCATCCTAGTGAGGGACAATGAAGCCCTAAACGCCATAACTTGTTTATGGTAATAAATGGCCAACTCTGTCGAACTTCCTGAAAATGCCTTGACAAATTACAAGAGCTAACTGGTGTCGATCGGACATAATAGTTGTAAGGTTAAAGGAGTCGAGATAGCGAGTTATGCAGGACCCTGGTCTTAGGAACGCATGTTGACTGGATGTGATAACGTTATTTCTTAGCAAGTGCTGAAGGACGCTTTCCTTATAACTCTTTCGATAATTGTAGAAGCTACTGATGTAATATTTATTGAACCCGGTTACTGGTTAATGTCTTTGAATGGGATTTATATACGAGTAGGATAAATAATGGTTTCCAAATATGAGGATATGAGAAAGGTTCCAAGGCACAGAAATGGAAACGGAAATATAGAAGGCTCCGCATTTTGAGAAATTTGATAGTACTCCATCTACGCCGGCAATACTGGGACACTTACACGCTCTAATGGCCAGAAAGTGACTGATATCCGTCAGTGGTGCGGTTTAATCACTTCCTGAGGAGTGCGGACAGCGCGTGTTTTTCAGATGAGCAGGTTAGCACACTCCCCTCTTTGCTCGTCTAATGCACATCACGGTTGCACAAATGGAATTGGGAATGCCTTTAACCAGCTGAAGCAAATTTGAGTTGTGGTGTTGTTATTATTCCATCAAGATTTCATGTAGCTTTCCATGAGCACCAGGAGGTGCATACAGCTTGCCGTCTGGGGGTGTGTTTTTGAAACCTTTCAGTGAACAACGGTATCGAGACGGTTCTCAACGTTGTGGCAAATTTATTAACAGCTAAGTTGAGGCCCACATTGGTGAAGTATGATCCGCAGTCAATGCACCTAATCAGTAGACTCACAAACCCTCAGTCCACCTTCCTATAATCTCCATATAATATTTGGTGTAGAGTAAAAATGTCGATTAAAGTGCCAGTTGGAGGAATCTTGGAGCCCACATCTGTCGAAAAAGGAATCATGCTTTGGCAAAACATCATGTCCAGTACGTTGTCATTTCTTGCAGGATCAGTAACAATTTGTTTCCGCTCTAAAATATCCGCGTATATTCTTGTGATAATGTGATAAGCTGTTATGCACAACGACAGGTTGTTTTAGACTAACATTTAGTGGTGAACAGATAACTGGTAGAAAAACCCATAGGTCCTGTATTGGAGGATTATTCAGCCAGTATAAAAAGTTGCAGTTCCTGCCAAACATTCCCTTAGTAGTTATATGGTTACATATTGCGAACTCAAGATCCCATGATATCTGGCTATATTTTTAGCAATTTTGTTGCGTTGCGTGAAGCGAAGACGTTTTAGGAATGCCCAAGAGGGCACCTAGCCGTTTTTTGACCTTTGAATACCTAAAACAGGTGCGAAAGGAATAATTTGGTTGAATACGGACGATAGGAACATTTAAGCAGCCCGAAATTTTAGGCAGGCCACCGGAAAATTATAATTCAAGTTCACCGACTTGAGCGTTCGGTTGGTAAGGCACAAATGTCTACTTCTCGCAAAAGGTAACACTCAGGAAACGGATAAAACACACACAGCAGTTTTGCAAGGGGAAGCATTAGTCTCCAGCAAACCTATAAGTAGTTTGTCTCAGGGCTCTTTAGGTCAAGAGAAAGTGTCAAATCTTTCGAAGTTAGGTCACGTGATGCCAATTTTCACAGGAGGTCAGTGAATCAGCCGGAAGAAACAGAGGCAAGTGGTGCACCTACCGTGCCCTCCAGAATAACGAGTTCGTTAACTTCTGACGGGCTA